GTCAGTCAGTCAGTCAGTCAGTCAGTCAGGCAGTCAGGCAGTCAGTCAGTCAGTCAGTCAACGAAGATCAATCGTATGTTTTTGGGCACCATTATTCGAAAGTTACGGCTAGTTTGGTTTGTTAACTGTAAGATATTCACGCGGTGAAAACAGATCATCTGTTTTGGTCAGGACTGTCAATGCAACCGAGTGAAAGTGCTAATCTAGCGATCTTTATTTTTCCATTGGTATGTTTTTTTACAAATGTGCAGAGAACAAACGATAAATAAGAAACAGAGAGAAAAGGAAAAAGGAACAACGTAAATTTAATCCAAAGTAAATCATTACCTAAATTAATATGAATCAAACAATAAACAGTACTGATAAAAGAACGAGGTGTTTGCAATCGGTCTAGCCGAGGAAAATTTCACGGACGCGGTTATAGAGCACAGGAGGCCCAGTGTGTTTGCCATAGTCCACGTGTTCTTGGACAGGAAATAAGCGTTCTACAATCGGGACGATGTAAATTTGAGCAATGACAGTGGCTGAGTTGTGCTGGCCGTGTTGCCACGGTGGACAAATGATGCTGTGGATGGCACCCACGTGGTCCGAACGTATGGTGATGGTTTGAATGTCCATAATGGGCAGAATCTGGATGTGATCCCATATGGGGCATATTGATACACGATGATTGTGGAGCGAGCCAAACATTGTGCACCCTAGTTGCTGTGGTAAGTCCAGAGGGGACTGGTATGTTGTTCACTGGGTGAAAATTGTTGGCTCGATAACGTGAATTGGTACATTCGCAACATGTGATTGGATATTTACAAATACATTCCGACAGCAAACAGTTCTTCCATGACCAGTGTGAAGGGTTTGGCGGATGTAAGTGATGTGTGGTTGATTTGAGCGGACCTGGTCTAATGCCACAGTTACATTTGAGATTCAGATCTGGCATTGAATAGGCGCTGTGATCAGTCGAACTTGGACCACATTGTCCGTTACAATTCGGATGATGTAACAGGTAGAACACGTTTTGCTGCCTCGGGTCATTTGCTTCACATCCTCTGGTCATAGAGTCTATTGTCTCAAAATCGACTTCTGTGTTCAAATTATCCCCAAATCCAGCATTTCCCCCAATCGACCGGCATGAGGTGGTTCGATCACATTTAGGTTCTTTGGGCAGGTTCTTCGTTGGTTCCAAGTTTTGTCTGATTGTCTCACACGATTGAGTTGCATCATCGGTGGAGGGCATTTGTAAGAAGCATTTGAACTCTACCACTCTCACGCTAACCGTGGACGATTATCTCCGTGGCCTTATTTCCTGTCACAGACAGTCAATCAGACACAGTGGGCACGAGCCATTTCAAATGTGATTTATGGCCAGCCACATGATGATCACGTGTTCACTAATCCGTTGGCCGGTCAATCAGTATATGAGCGCGTGAACAGCTCATCCAAGTCAATGCAGTAAAAATTGCGGTTCGAAATCAACAACCTACAAAAATTGGTCTAGTATTAACCGTAATAATCCCTACACATTTCTACTTGAGTTTTGGTAAATATCATTCGGACGGTCAATAAAGGATGGGGTGAGGTAATTCTAGCTACAGGATGATGCGAACCTCGGGGTGACACGTTACAGTTTTTGGACAACTGTAATGAGTCAAGCTTCCTAGTTGATGCCAGCAAAGCACCTACGCGTTACAGCTTCTAAACTACGAACCACAGGGCAATTGTGCAGACCAATCAGAAGCCGTGCGGCGCAGACAGAAGCTGTACGACCTTAAGAATACGAGTACACGATTGGTAGATATCTGGATAACCAATAAACTTTTTTGTACATGTTATTCAATCCTCTTGATTTCTTCCAATGAACGAACTTCTACTTCAGTGGCCTTTTCCTTGTTTCTCGGTTACGCAGGATACCGTCGTGCAAGTGCAAGTGTGATTGAGTGTTCCCGCGGCGTCCGTGATCCATGTGTACTTCAACCATTACAGGGGGTCGCAAAACTTGACATCATGTGAGTAAGATATTAACATCACCCAGGAAGACAAAGATGAGTAAAATTAATATTAGCGATCAATTTCGCGTGTTCTCATTCAACTGCAAACGTACATTTATATAACTCGTAACCAAACCCAACTCACGCAACCTTGTTCAAATAACTCATTTCAACTCCCATGTTTCTATTTGCCATGATCGTATAAACGCGTGTTTCAACTGAATGAGAGCACGCAAAATTTGATGACCAGTATAAGTTCTGCTCACATTTGTCTTCTCGTACTTTACCGCAGAGCAAGACTGGCCTTACTGCTTCAGTATATGCCCGACCCTTCACGGACAGCCAGATGTTGCAGCTGCGCCACAGATGTCTCAAATTGGTAAATGCCAAACGAGCCTTTTGTATGCGAGCTGAAACTTCAACCGTGATGCTTCCACCGAGTGAGACATAACTACCCGAATAACAATTATAGTGAGGCTGGATGCTGAATCGACCCAGTCTTATAGTAACATTTTACACTTTGAAGGTGCAAAACGCATGCCGAACATGGCTAGGCTGGTACTCAAACTATCCAGAAAAGCGTGCAACTTACCTGGATCTTCGTTTAGCAGTTCAATGCCGTCTGAATAATACAAATCAGACGGTTTGCCACCTGGAATCAATTGGATGCAACTGTAGTTGCACGAAGATAGGACAGTTTCCATAATCAAATCTATAACAAGGTTACAGAGGAAAGGTAAGGGAGGGCAACCCTGAAGAACACCCTTTTCCGTGGTAAACTCTGGCGAAAAAATGTCCTAAGCTCGGACTCTACTTCGACTGTTAGTAGAAAGGGATCGTAAAATTAAAATTAACTTATCGGGCACATCATTCTGAGTGAGGCAGAGCCAGAGCGGTCGACTGAGTCAAAAGCCGTCTTCAGTTCGAGGAAGACAGAGATAGTAGGCCTACAAAATGAATGCCGGTGCTCCCGAATTCGGTGAAGAGTGAAGATGTGTTCAATACAGCCTGGACCAGATCTAGACCAGCCTGATCCTCGCGCATGCGCTCTTTACGTGCGGCAAACGATCAGTGGAGTATTAACGCAGTGGGACGTTTAGAGATAATGTTGAGTAAATTAAGTCCTCTGTAGTTTTCACGAGAGGATGTCACTTTTCTTGTAAATCGGTAAAATGACCGATTCACACCATTTACCTTTCTCTCCCACAGTGTGCCCAGGAGTTTCGTCAACTCCAAGCCTAACGTTAACCCTCCATCCTTAAAAGCCAATGGAGACCGCCCATCTGAGCCGGAGCCCTTCTGCTTCTTGAGTTAACTTATTTGCCGGGAAACGTCTAGTTCAGATGAAGACCTGGTATCAACTGGGAGTATGTGGGGCGATAGATCGAATGTCGATAAGAACCAGTTAAACTGAGCCTCGAAATGTTCAGCCCATCGATTGAGACAGCACTGCTGAAGGTGAATCAGTGCCATCGGATTCATTAATTACCTCACTTGTGCCTATTTTCCCGGGTCCTGTATTCCTACTTAGACGGAAAAGAGTGAAATTACTACCAATATACGCTGCCTTCTCTGTATATTTACACTTCCCTATCCACCACCTCTCGCGATCATTCCTCAGACTCTTGATGAGCTGGTGTTTAAAGGATTTGCGCGCTATCATAAGTGGCATCGGGAGGACAGGTTCTGCGTGCAGCAAAGCAGCCAAGGATGACGAGATCCATCGTTTGTGCTCTGAGCCTGAGCCAGAGTCCGCCGTTGTTTTTATTCATATTTGCATAGCTTCTTTGATTTGCTTCCAGGGTTTATTGAGTCCCTCGGCTAGTGGCTGAACTGATAGGCTATGGAAGAGCTCCGCTTCAAAGGCCAAAGTCTATAGTGTTTCCCCAGTGCATGCTCATTTGGGGGAACTGAGGCTTGTGCGTGAAGATGGATTCTAACGGATGGCCAGTCCCAAAAGGACATGCATCTCGTACCACTATTTATGATTAGTTGCGGACTGAAAATTAGCATACACTTTAGTCACTGTTACACAACTCTAGTCAGCTAGTCTACCCAAATGCTCATCCACATTCTGCTGTCACTAAAAAACCAAGCAGCGTTTGCTAAATTAAAGACTGCTGATTACATTACATACACTTAATCCGAATCATCCTGTAGTACTCAGAATGGTAATCGGAATCGAGTAGTGCGAACTCAAACTCGTACGGATAATTCACTGAACAAATTAAAATTAGGTACCAATCATAAGAATGGTGGACACAGTTAGTTCCAGATTGGTTAAAAGCTCCGTCTCCTGATTGGCTGTCTGGAATCAGTATTGTGGTGCTTGTCTAGTGTCACACGATCTCGCAGCACGAGCGTCACACTGTAATGATTGTAGTAGTATTAGCAGTAATACGCACGGAATTCGGTACACCGATCACGCAATAGGAATCACAGGACCCGAATCAATAATCGGCTATCACGACTGGATCGCCGAAGCAATGTCCCACGAGAACGAGACGCGAGGAAAAGGCCAAAGGGCAGGCAGTAAGTAATTCGTGTATTGGAAGAAATAAAGGTGATTAAATAATATGTACAAAAGAAGATTATTGGCTACCTGGGCATCCACCAATTGGATTGCAGCACTGCTTGCATAATCTTGCTTCTGTCTGCATTGTCTTGGATTGGCTGGCACCATCCGCCAATGACGTGTATTCAGAAGCCATGCACGTGCTATTGACTTCAACATTCAAACTTGATTGATCGCTAATGTCCTGAAACTGTAACGCGCCGCTCCAGGGTAGGCGACATCCTGTAGGCCTGGATCACCACAACTCTCCTCCCTCAAAAGAGCTTCGTCAAATTGGCTT